AATCTGGAGGATGGACAACGATCAACAGCAACAATCCTATGCGACAGCAGATCAGCGCTACAAGCAATCCAGAATCCACGTAACAGATCCGGACAACGCATCGTTCACGCAATCACACAAGCGGCCTCCGAGGTCCAGGCAGCGAATGTCAAACTCCGCCTCCAGTGGGTGCCAGGACATTGTGAGAACGCCGGAAACGATGCAGCGGATCGACTCGCGAAGGAAGCTGCACAGCCGGGTAAAACCCATCCCTTCCGACCGCTACTATCGAGAGAGAACGCGTTGGTCCGTAACAAAACTTACGCCCAGTGGGAGCAAGAGTGGAAGACAGGCACCAAAGGTGCCTACCTGCAAAAGATAGACAGCGGCCTACCAGCGCGGTATACGAGGAAGCTCTACGGAAACTTACCAAGGAATCGCGCCTATCTGCTGACGCAGCTATGCACGGGCCACAACTGGCTATCCACCTACGCGAAGAAGTTCGGCTTCCGCGATGACGAACTATGTGAATGCGGAACACGGGAGACAGTCGCCCACGTATTGATGGAATGCCCGAGGCTCCGAGAGCTGAGAATAGAATTGAAAAGGAAAGTTGGAGATGCGCTGAGCGGCGTGTCGAGCCTGCTGGGAGGCTCAAACGTAGGTGAGAAAGGTAAACCAGACATCGTCTCGAGGGTGAAGACGGTTCAAGCCGTATTGGACTTTGCCGAGGCGTCACAGCGGTTCCGCAGTCGTGCGCCATGAGGGCAGCCTAACAACGGGAGCGGCAATGGGCCACGAGAGGCCGTGACGAGGCTCAAAGATTCTGTCAGGAAGTGGATCATTCTATGTGTATATACCCGGATATATAGTTGTCGTATACTGCATATCACTTTGGCGAGGGGTCAGTGTAAATGATATCACACACACACACACACTCTGTATAGTAGCTTGGGTGTTTGGTCGCTGACCAAACATTGTGCCTTTTTGGCCAGATGGCGTAGTGGTTAAACCCAGCATCCATGAACCGTCACAGGGGGCTACGTGGCTCCTAGAAGCTGCTTCTTTGCTCCCAGAAACGGTTCTGAGGCTTCTGGGAGCAAGGGAACTCCCAAGGTCAAGAGATAAGTTCCTAGCACTAATGAAACCATCTACGAGAGCGTGACCGGTTCTTGATAGTGACGATGAAGACATGCAGGTATCTGGATACCGCTATAAATATCTAGTTGCTGGTTATACGGACAGACAGAAAGTGTCCATAAAACAAGGAATGGTTCATCTTCTGATGCCGGCGTTGAAGGCCATATAGAAATGATTTCAGACCAAATTACCACTAGAGAACTAATTTTTCGCTTGACTCTGGAGGCAGCACTCCAATGGGACGACACCCGTCTGAGCACCACTTTACGTTCGCGTGCTAGAGGTTGAATACCTCTGCAGGGATTTGCATACAGACCAACCTCAACTTGCAAATCTGAAGCGCGGTTTCTCCGTCGACGTAGCTTCTTACTCTCAACAGGGCAATCTGTTGTATGCGTTTCCTCGGTGCAAGTGATAATGAAGAAAATTGTCACTGAAAAATGAGCTAGGACAAGCAGGCAGTCGCTTGAAGCAAGGTTTGCGAATTCGGAATTTATTTTGGCGGATTCTCAAGGTAATAAGATATCTCGTGACCCTGCCATTGGTATTTGCATTACCCGGGCTCCCGTGATCGGTGAGCTGTTTGTAGTCGAGCTCGAAGACCGTCGAGAAACCCAAGAGGTGTCATATTATAAGTAAGGTCAATCCCTGGGATGAAGATAAATTGCACAAACTAACCAACAACTCTAAAGGGCGTATTAAATCACCATGGCCCAAACCTCCGAAAATGACAGTTCCCTTATTTTTGTTTCGTCGGATTGGGACAAGGTCTCCAATATTATCATATCGATGGAAGTCTTAAAGGGAAGCGCTCAAATTGGAAAATAAAGCATAGCTACAATACAGGCTACTACTACTCCCCGACTGGAATGATAGATGCAGAACCGAATCACAACCTATAAAGCAGCATAAATCTCTCAGAACACCCCATCCAACTTGACTCAATTGCACTGCTGTCCTCCTCTCTGTCGTCCAAATTCTCAGTGCACTGGGAAAGACAAAATCATGAGCCAGGTACTGTAAATAAATGTAGGTTTTGTGGTTATCATACGGGGAATGTAACCTGAGGCATTCTCAACGGACACGCGCCGGGCAATTGGATGATAAACCACGGTCTGAGTCACTGGCGATAATAAGTTCACCAAAAGACGCGTAGTTTGGGAATTGAAATGAATAGATGCTCTACGAACTATACAAGGGACACGGCGAAAGAACATTTATTTTGGTCTACTTGCTTTTTGAGGGCAGAATGACAGCGAGGCTTCAAAGGGCTGATAAGCGGGCGGGCCTACCAACCTGTACAAATACATCTACGCGAAGGATTACATGTCTGCTTGAATTCCTTCGTCGCGTACCATTTCTCAGCTCTTATGTTGCCTGTGTATAAGAACTAGATTTTCTCTATCACTGTACTGTACTTTTCTAGTTCTAGGTCCCTCCGCTAGGACAGTCGTTTAAAGGAGTGTAAAATGATGAAGCTGGTTGTCGCTCTATGTAAAGCTTCCTTGGTTAATATCTAAACAGTGAAAACTCACGAGCTATAGCCATGGTAAAAGTACAGGATGGATCGAAATCAGCTTCACCATCTGCTCACAGAAACTTGGTTTATGTTATTGAAATATTTAGATACACGGCCGAATATATGAGTGTAAGCGAGAATAAGTCAAGTCCCAACCCTAGACTGGCCTGGTGCCCCTCAATCAAACTTCCTTCGCGCCCCACTCTCTGAGGTAAGCTTTAGTAGCCGCAAGCCTTTGCTTCTAGAATCACCCGCGTGTATCAGCCATTTCGAAAGTTATCCCATTCACTGTTCAACAGATGTAGCACCTCACGCAGATACCCAGGTTGAAACATGTGCACAGATTTAGTTGGTGCACTCTTTCTGCTCAAGCACGATGGTGTTGCCAAGGTTACCAGTAAGACTAGATACCTTAATGTATCCTTCGGCGTCTTTTGTTGCATTGCCACGCCTCAGAATAAGCTCATTGTCGATTTGAAGGGTGAAGTCGCCGCCACATTGGGACAAAAGTGTTGTATTCATGGTATTGGTAAAGACAGTGTCCAGATTCACAGGGCCAGTGAATGGCCACTTCATTTCAGTTGTACCCGGGCTGCCGGCAAAACTATACGTGTTCTTCTCGTACGCTGTCATGCCCTCCTGAAGATAGACATGGCCATGGAAGTCGCCGCTGAAGATATCATTGTCAATTAACTACTCCATACCACGAGGGAATCTTGTGCTTGCCAAGTGAGTGAGCATACCGAAGGACGTTGATTTGTCTTGAGGCACTTGTGCGGAGACCAACTACAATGTGGCAACGCGCATGATCACCACCCTTGTCCTTTTCTATGGCAGCCAACATGTATCAGCAATGCGGAAAAATGAATAGTGTCAGTCAATTTACCAAGCTCAGCCTTTAGCCCTTGGACCGTAACATTGAAGGAATTAGTGGCCGGCTCAAACACTCCAGTCAAACTTCCTTGAGGACAGCCTGAACCTTTGTACGTGACACTGGTGACCTCGAGCCCGGCCACCCGAGGCTGCATCAGGCTAGCAGCAACGGAGACGCTAGGGCCAAGCCCTGCACAAAGAAGGAGAAATTTACAAAACAGCATCCTTGCCAGCGAAAGAGTCGAAAGAGCTTGGAATGTTTCGCATATGAGAACGTTGGTAGTTTGACCACCAATGGCCGATGGGCGGCCTTGGAGTATTTATGGCGGAGACATGCTCGCCGAGATGTCAGAGCGGAAATTAAATAAAATGAAATGGGGAACTACTCGGACACACCGAGACTATTAACCAAGCTTACTATTTCAAAGCGCATTTGACCCTCCAAATATTCACTTTAGGACCCACTACCGAGTCTTTCTTTTGATACTGGCCCGGGGCGATGGCGAATAATTTTGGCCGTTCCGACCCGCATCTCCGTGGGGCCGTTATCTGATTCTCCGCTAGCAGGTAAATTCCGGCAAAGCTCATCTCCTTGCTTGCTACTATAACCTTGCCAGGCACTTAAGAGTTCATTTTGTTGAGGTACCTCACGGTAGGCTGCCCACCTGCGCTTATAAATACCTGTACTGAGAACCTTCTTATTTATGCTCACCACAGTCTCAGAAGGTTCTTCCAGGAAGTACATCATGTTTTCTCAATTTTACTTTCTTTTGTTGGCTCTGCCATTCGGGCAAGCTATATCAGCTGTAGAAACAAAGGCTTGGAAGTGAAAAATACCTCGTTTCCACCAAATTTTAGGTCTTCGGAGTCAATATCTCTTTTTGATACCGCAGGGGCTGAGCGAAACTAACGCGGTTTGTTAGCGGAAAATCAACCGGAAAGCGCAAGACACACATCACATTGCTATCTTCCAGATTACGGGTCTTTTCTGACTGCATAATGCACTGCCCAGAGGCCGCACTCCCCACCGTTAGCTTGCTAGGAATGGTCAGCGGTGGAGGGGGCCAGTTGAACAACGGGTCTACTCTGTTGCATTACTGTATAACCTCGATACTCATGTCTATGATCTCTCCAGCAAGCCACCTGTGGTATTTACAGTTTCTGTTTACTTCAGGAATGGAAACCGTTGGACGAATTTTCCAATTCTTGCTAAGCAGTCCCGGACATTTATCGCCGGTCGCATTTTCGGCATCACGACTAACACGCCTCGCCTAGCAATTGGCGTGGATGACGTATATTTTATTCCAAATCTCGGCAGCATTGCGACACCTCCGGTGGTTCCTACCTCTTCAGTGGGAGAGCAGAAGCAAGCAGATAGATGGAACAATCGCATCAACCCACTGACTCCGATGAAGATGCCTCAGAGGCTGATATCCGTCTCTGATTCACAAGATCTAGACGAAGGTCATCAGGCTGCTCAAAATTCAATTTACTTCAGCCACCACTGGCCCTTGCGGGGGTTGACTAGCTTCGTTTCGCTAAAATATTCATCAGAAATGTCTTCTGGCTCGGCTCTCGTGCCCTTCGACTTTGATCGCGCATTATTGATGGGCCTTTGCGCCGGGGGTGCGGGAGGGCTTATAGGCAGCGGCCGAGCGGGCAGCGGCGGGAACCGGAATGGACCCTGCCAATATGATAAGGTTCCGGCGGCGTTGGAGGCACTCCGTACCTAGCAAACCTGTTTTCTGTCATGAAGACCCAGCGAAGTTGATTGCGCTGTTCAGGGTATTTTTCAAAGTTCGTTGCAATGATTGGTCCCAGAATGCTCTTGTTGGGGCCTTGGACGAGTGCGAGGTATTCCATAAGATTCTTTAAAGTGGTATGGGCACTAGCGTAGGTACGAAGAATCAGGTTGATCTCGCTCGTGCCGCCTAGAATGTCGTCGTCGATATTGTTTGGATCTTCAATAGTGACATGATCGGGGTTCCCAAAATTTATCTGTTGTGTTTCACAAGTCAGCTAGTGCACAGACATCTCCACTGTCCTAGCCACAGCACAGCCAACACAGACTGAAATGAGCCTGAGCCCACTTTTAGGCACTACTGTTATGCTGGCTTACTGTTATGCCAGCATAACATCGATATTTGAGGCCGCCTCATCCAATAATAGCATTGAAAATGCAGATGCCTGGCAATGGGTGTATCGAATGCCTGTGCTTCACGGCTTAGCCGAATCCACTGATAGTTAGTTAGTTACACTGCATGTCCTGTTCAGGCACTTCGTGTTCGTATCAGACTCCCACACCGACGATCACGGCTGTGGCTGTTCCAACTTCAGCCTAGGGCCCAGCGTCCAGAGTGCATCTCACCTCAGCCCTGCGCCTCAGGATATGCACACCGCTAGGGATACCAAGAATGTCATAACGGAAGCCTCGGGCTCCGACATTTGATGTCACTGCAACACCAGCTCGCAGTCCACTTGCTGCACCATGATTCGCGATCCCGGGAATCTAATCTGAACTATAAGCTATGCTGAACATGCCGAACTGCTTCCCTTGGCTGGGCATCCGGCGTCCCCGGTTCATAAGTATCCCCCTATCCCTTCAATCCTCTTGATTTCTCGCTGTGCGATTTGTGAGAGCCATGAAGACTTCCGCGCTGATCAGTTCGGTTGCGCTGGGCTTTTTGCCTAGTAAGTATTTTCTTTCCCTCGGTCGCGTTTTCCAGTCCTCCCTTTTATCACGCGTGGAGACCTCCGTGATGAGCGTCAATAATTTCAATATGACTTCAAACAAAACAATACGCGATCGTATAGCTAATCCGCTTCTTCCGCAGACGCAATCGCTGCCCCGGGCGGATTCAACCCCAATGATATCACCTTTGCAGTCGCGCAACGAGCCCTACCCGACGCGCCCGATGGATACACCCCTAGCAAAGTGAGCTGCCCAGCAAGCCGACCGACAATGCGCAGAGCAGCGAATCTCTCAACGAACGAGACATCATGGCTCGAAGGCCGCCGCAATAAGACGCTGTCGGCGATGAAGGATTTCTTCGGACATGTGACAGTCGGCGATTACGACGTTGTCGGGTACCTTAACAACCACGCCAACAATGTTTCGGCCCTGCCTAATGTTGGAATTGCCGTTTCGGGTGGTGGTTACCGTGCGCTCATGAACGGCGCCGGTGCTGTTAAGGCTTTTGATAGCCGCACTGAGAATGCTTCGACTAGTGGTCATCTGGGTGGTTTGCTGCAGTCTTCTACCTATATTGCTGGTCTCAGTGGCGGTAGTTGGTTGCTTGGGTCGATTTATATTAATAACTTCAGTACCATTGCTAATCTGCAGACGCACGAGAGTGGTGCTGTTTGGCAGTTTGGAAAATCCATTCTCGAGGGTCCTGATACTGGTGGTATTCAGCTTTTGGATTCAGCTAGTTATTATAAGGATTTGGCAGAGGCTGTTAATGGGAAGAGGGATGCAGGCTTTGATGCTTCTATCACTGATATCTGGTATGGTCTTTCGTGTCCACTGTTTTTGTTCCTGTTCTAACTTGAAATAGGGGCCGTGCTCTCTCCTATCAGATGTTCAATGCGAGCAACGGAGGTATCGACTACACCTGGTCTTCCATCGCCGACACCACGGATTTCCAGGATGGAAACTATCCTATGCCGCTGGTTGTTGCGGATGGCCGCAACCCCGGTGAGCGTGTGGTTGGAAGCAACTCCACCGTCTATGAGTTCAGCCCGTGGGAGTTCGGTACATTCGACCCCACTGTCTTCGGTTTCATCCCTCTAAAGTACCTCGGCTCCCGTTTCGAGGGTGGCTCGCTTCCTAGCAACGAGACCTGTATTAGCGGCTACGACAGCGCCGGTTTCATCATTGGAACCTCCTCTACTCTCTTCAACCAGTTCATCCTCCAGATTAACACTACCTCGCTCCCCAGCTTCTTGAAGAACGTCTTCACCGACATTCTCACCAAGCTCGACCAATCCGATAATGATATCGCGTCATACGACCCCAACCCCTTCTACCAGTACAACAACGACACTTCCCCGTACGCCCAGCAGGAAATCTTGGACCTGGTCGACGGCGGCGAGGATCTACAGAACATCCCCCTCCATCCCCTCATTCAGCCTGAGCGCCACGTCGATGTCATCTTCGCCGTTGATTCGTCCGCCGACACAACCTATTCCTGGCCCAATGGTACCGCTCTCGTAGCCACCTACGAGCGCAGCCTGAACAGCACCGGCATCGGCAACGGCACAGCCTTCCCTTCGATCCCCGACCAGAACACCTTCGTCAATCTAGGCTTGAACACTCGCCCGACCTTCTTCGGCTGCGACAGCTCCAACCTGACCGGAACCGCGCCCATTGTTGTCTACATCCCGAACTCCCCTTACTCCACTCAATCCAACGTCTCTACCTTCCAGCTGAGCACTGAAGACGACCAGCGTGATGCAATAATTCTCAATGGTTATGAGGTTGCTACCATGGCCAATAGCACTCGCGATGGCAACTGGACGTCTTGTGTTGGCTGTGCTATTCTCAGCCGCTCCTTCGGGCGTACTGGCACTACCCTCCCTGATATCTGTAACCAGTGTTTCGACCGCTACTGTTGGAACGGCACTGTCAACTCTACCGTACCCAACGTCTATGAGCCTGTTAATTATAGGGGATCGGTGATTCAACACCCCTTTGCGTAACGTAATTCACTACCGAGCCGGCCACACCACCGAACCGGCCACCCAACCTAAAACACGCGTCAATTAATTAGACTCTCTTTCTTCAACCACCTACCATGCCACCAATTCATACTCAATCCTCTCGAAATTTAGTAGAGCAGGAGGGTAGGATCTTATTAGCTATACAGGCTAGTCAGAAGCAAGAAATTGGCGCTGTTCGTGCAGCAGCACGTGTATTTGATGTGCCTGAATCGACACTCCGTACGAGCCTTAAGGGTTCTACGAATCGCGCTGAAACTCGCGCAAATAGTCATAAATTGACTGAAATTGAGGAGGAATCTCTTAAAAATGGATTCTCTCTATGGACTCTCGCGGAGCACCCCCTCGGCCTTCTATTGTACAAAGAATGGCAAATTTACTACTCGCGGCGCGTGGATCTACCCCGACTATTTCGGTCGGTCACAATTGGGTTACAAATTTCGTGAAAAGGCGTCCGGAGCTATCGAGTCGCTTTTCGAGGCAATATGATTATCAGCGCGCTAAATGTGAAGACCCAAAAATCATTTACGAATGGTTTAACTTTGTCCAAAAAAACGATACTTCAATACGGCATCGACCCCCGACGATATCTATAACTTCGACGAGACTGGATTCGCAATGGGCTTAATTGCGACCGCGAAGATCGTTACAGGGCTGAATACTACGGTCGGCGAGCACTTTTACAGTCCGGAAATCCCGCGTGGGTGACTACAATTGAGTGTATAAATGCTTCGGGCTGGGCGCTTCCTCCGTGCGTGATTTTAAGGGCAAAGTCTATATCGAATCTTGGTTCGATGGCCTCCCGGAGGATGGGCGCTTCGAGGTTAGTCCTAACGGGTGGACCTCTGACGGAATTGGGCTTCGTTGGCTCGAAAAGCTCTTTATTCCGTCTACTTCTTCACGGACGAAAGGGAAGTATAGACTTTTGATACTCGACGGCCACGGAAGTCGCTGCTGAGACATGGGCAGGAGGAGACTGTGAACGAGAAACTCCGACAAGGGCTCACAGATTCGTGTCGAGTCAAAAAACTTTTGGACCTGACGGCGACGGGAGCCAATCTGAACCGGGTGGCTGGCAAATTAACGTGGAGGGGTTAGAGGTCACGACATCTAGGCCCCTCGGCAAGCTGCCGTAATTCGCCGTGGCAGGCAGCTGTTCTCTCACGCAGTGCTTCAGGTCAGGCAAAGACCAACCAGCGTTGACAATGCTGAGATACAGTAGGGTTGGGGTAATAAGTCCCCGGTCTAGGCTTGCCACCAATTTCCCATCGAGTGCAAAGATAGGATGTCCGAACACTAGGAGGCGGTCGTCGTTCGTGGCAGTTCCCGAAGTCCCGAAGGAAGCTGACTTGGCCCGAATAGAATGCGGGGGGCTGGTTAGTGTTCAAATATGCCAAGCTTCGGATGGGATCCACGGAGATAGTGTGGAAACTCTGATGGACTAACCCACTATGGACGGTTGATACTAATTAGTATTAAAGGATCCGAAAGACTTCTAAAGAAAAGGTCTGCCTAGAGGCCTTGTCCATGTACTTTCTGGAGTACAATGTCCCTTCATGATTAAGGCCTAGTACTTTCTCTTGCCCCGTGAAGAACTCGTCAAAGCATGGTCTCTACCTCTTTGTACCGTCTCTGGCTATATAGTGGGAGACCAGTCTGATAAAAGAATATATTAGGTGCTTTATTGCCAAAAGCTGTTTCTTGTGAGATGTCAGTACCTTTTGATTTTAGCCCAGCTCTTGCACTTTCTGTTCACGGAATGATGCTATTCTATAAATTCAGTTTTCACCTCGCGCAAAGATACAAAGCGGAATCAGTTGCTGTTCTGTTCACTGGTGTCGCTAATGCTGCAAAGTTGCTGTGCACCGAACATATATTTACTAGTAAGCAACCTCAGTGAATGAGCAACGTCCTCTCGTACATCTGGTTGAGTTTTCGCTGGCTATTTACGAAGGGAGTTGAGAAGCCCTAGCACCCTTCTGCCCGTACCAATGATAGTGGTGTGATGCCGTACTCATCCTTTAAGTCCGCCCTAACATCACTTCGCTCAACTAGTAGCTTCACCACTTCTTCATGTCCACACACAGCTGCCAGTAACAGCGGCGTCCAACCATCGTTGTCCTCCGAGTCCGCCTTAACATCATTTTGCTCAACGAGTAGCTTCACCACTTCTTTATGTCCACCCTCAGCAGCATGCGACAGTGGCGTCCGACCATCGTTTTCCTCCGAGTCCGCATTAACATCATTTCGCTCAACCAGTAGCTTCACCACTTCTTCATGACCGCAAAGGGCTGCCAGTGACAGCGGCGTCAGACCGTAACTATCCTCCGAGTCCGCCTTAACATCATTTCGCTCCACCAGTAGCTTCACCACCTTTGCATGTCCACCCTCAGCAGCGTGCGACAGTGGGGTCCGACCATCGTCATCCTTCAAGTCCACCTTAACATAATCTCGCTAAACCAGTAGCTTCACCACTTCTTCATATCCGCACCCAGCTGCGTACAATAGTGGTGTTCGACCATTCTTGTTCTTCGGGTCCACTTGAGTACTATTCTTCGCTAGTAGCAGCTCTTTCAGTCTGCGCTCAGCTTCTTCTGCGAGAAGGTGTAAGACTGTGTTCCCTTTTTCATCCTGAACAGAAGTGTGTCGGAACGTCAAGACTCGGGCGAGGTCAGGAACGGCGCGTAAGAGTGATAATTGGTCACGAGGGTTGAGATTCTCCGCCGTGAGGAGAATGATCTCTCTCGGGAGATAAGCACGATCTTTTGGCGTTCTCATCGTCTAGCGCATGAGAGATACGGAAAGATAATAAAAACCCACAGCAGTCTGGTCTTCTTCTTGCCACGCTTAGAGACGTTGCTAGCCTCGAATGCTGTTTGGGGAAGAATGTGGTTGTTAGCAGATGTTCGGGATAACGTACTTAGGGACGGGCTCTGCTTGAACTTGTCAGCATTGTCAGTCCTCCAAAGCAAAGCGAGAGTGGATGTGAAACGCCAGCAGCGGACCTTGCCTTTTCCTAGTGCAAAGTTGACAAGCTTTCTCGAAGCCTTTTTAGGGTTGGAACCTCGTGGAAAGATCAGCCCGCGGGAGAGCATCCGAATTCTGCGGCCGCATTACCCGTGGTTCGGATGGAAAGGCTGCATGACTGGTCTAACAACGGCAGAAGCGGGTCATCAGTAGCTGGTGGGCCCTACAGGGAGTTCATGCTTGAACGACAATCAGATCGTCTTCAGCCGATAAGTCGTCGTGGCATAGGATCTCTACCGCCTAGCCTGAACATGTATCAAGGGTTTGAGCCTTGTCTGAAGGATCAAATACAATTATGGTTCTCACAAGCAGTGAGAAGTGCACCTTCTTCAGACAACAGCGCCGTGAGGCATTGGCAGCCCATTTTAGTATGTTATGGTCTTGTCTCCGCCTGATGAGCGAAACTAACTCGCGTCAGATGACTGACTTGGCCTTGTCGTCGCTCCCGGCCAAGTCTGGCTACAGCCATCGGCTGGGTATGGATACGCTTGGTCGGAGACGGAATCCAAGAAAAGCCTGTTGCAGTGCTACCGTGGAGCTAAAGCAAGATTCAAAACATGGGGGCGTAATCTCCTTCACTAAATCTGCGATCACATGATAAAAATGCCAAGGATCGATATCCGCCAATTAAACAATGATTTGTTTCACTATTCATTTGAAGTACATTGTCGCTGGGTGTTTGCATCTTCCCCAAGTCCGTGGCATACTGCGCATATTACGACGGTGCTTAACTTCCTCCACCAAAGTACGGTTAATCTGGTTAGATGCTATGAATCTTTCCACAAACTTCTCATTTCCTTTCGCCACTTGATCCTCAAAAATTTCTATCGCTTCCTGCATCACTGTTCTGAATTCTGCGACCTGGATTTCCAGAGGTACAGCCTCTTGGTCATCCTCCTCATCCTGCTCCGACTCACTTCCTGAGGAGTCTAATGGTGACGCGAGGGTGGTGTCTTGCATTTCGATGTTTCCATGCAACTTCCGAGTGCGGAGTCCCTCTCTCGACGCAAACTCAGGTAGCAGAACCAATCGTTCATCTTTCCAGAAAGGATAGACCGTCTGACGACTAACAGTTTCAAAAAAGTCCGGACTAGGTGACTCAAAACAATGAACAATGTGTTTGCAGATAAGGAAGCGACTGTGCAGGAAGGATTTGCATGAACAAACCCAGTTGACCGGACTTGTGTGGTATTCCTTCAACTTGTCGGGGTCGACGGTTTTAGAGGCCTCTCTTCGCCACTGCTTCTTAAATGCCTCTCTCCATCGAGCTTTGAATATGCGGAACTGCCCACTGGAAATAGCTTTCATTCGATGGATAGCATCTGGGAGAACTCGCGATGCCAAGACCCACACCACCAGGTCAACTCGCGGCCGATTGAATCGATGAAGATAGTCGTGCTTCAGTGTTCGCCAATGCGACTCCACGATCATTGTTGTCTTCACCACCGGGATCTCAGTAGAGTCAGCAGCCCGTGCCCACAACTTCCACTGGTTAGGGCAGTACCAGTTGACATACAGATAAGCCCAAAGCCGGTAATACCCTCGGGCCTTACACCAGGTATGTATCTCTGCCGCACATTTACGATGCAAAGTTGTCGAGCACTTGTAAGTGCCGTTAGAATCAGGGATAAGAGGATGGAGGTTAAAATATCGGCAGAAAATCTCCAGAACCGTGTCACGGTCCTCCTTCGTGGCGGGCTCAAGTCTCCCCATTTCACTGATTTTCTCACCCTTTGACGGGCATGAGCAATCGCCAAATCTATGGCTCACCGGTCGGCGGACCGGTAGCGAACCCCAGCAGATCTCCAAGTCTGGAATCAGCTTTTGAGCCTCCTCGGGCCGGTAATGATTTTGGGTGTTGGTGCTTTTGGACGAATTGAGTTTCGTACCTACGGCCCGCTTGACATGCCAGTAGCAAAGCTGAACTTTGACCCCAGGCCATACGGTGGTGACCGCTGCAAGTTCGGAAGGATCCTTATCAACCGCGACGCATCTCGGATTGAATCCGAAAATTTTCAGTCGCTCCAGAAATTGTTGAATAATGTATGTCATCGCCCCAGGATCCGCACGGACGGGTTTCCCCTCGGCTAAATTGGCCTGCGGGGGCTTTAGCAGCTCGACCAGACAATATGCAAGCGGAACACCGGTACCTTCAACTTCAGCTAATACCGCGAATAGATCCATCCCGCCACTGTTAGTTCCAAATGTCGAGTCCATCACCAATTGTGGGGCTGTATTGCGAAGCTTCTGGATAGGTTCGGACGCGAAAAACCCCAATGCCCTCAGGTTTCCTGCCGTGAAGATATCGTGGTGATCGCGATAGTGACTGTTTTCAGAAAGAAGCATGGTAGCCGAAATGAAGGGGTCTAGGTCTCGCTGCCAGATTTCCGCGTTCGCGTTCTGCCAGAGATAGTAGACTTGATGTCTAGTCACTGGTTTTCCGGAATCTGTCGAATCTCGCGGTATATTTCGGATGGAGTTTTGGTCGATACAAGTGAATTGATAAGGTCTTGCACAACTGGTGAAAGTTCGATGTCCTCATAAGGTGCATGCCATTGGTGATGGATCGAAAGGGACATGGTTCGATTTTGTAAGCATGGCCGTATAGTGAGCTTGCTTTGGCATGGAAATCGCGTCATACGGCGGCCATCCCGCTGCTTCCCGACCTCTACCATAGGTCGATAGCTTTTAGCACGCATCAGATCCTGAGAGCAGTGGTACTGGTATGTGCAACTTTGGAAATTCGTTCCCATGTGGGTGAACCGGAATCCCCCTCGTTTCCAAATCAAGTCCGTGAGATCGCGCATAGCCCCGTTCATCTCGGATCTAGGATATGTGCCACGGTCGACATCGTGTTCACTCCCTCCTACAGTTTCTGTGACACGTACAGAGCCAAACTGGACTGGCAGAGTATCTAAATCGAACAGGTAATTCCCGTTCAATACCGGGGGGTGGTTCTGAGGCAAACGGGTTAGTATCGCGTCAATAAACCCGGACTTCTCGGTCCTTGGTTCTGGATTTCCTTGCCCGTGTTTTCCAATTGTGAAGAAGCTGAGCAAAATTGCCCCAATCGTCAAACTCCAGAGAACGTTTCTGGCTATGACGCCTGCAAGTTTTGTTCCGTTTCCCTTTCTTGGTGGCTTCAAATTCATCTGCAGCATAGAATTTTGCGCATTTGCTGCAAAGGACTTTGTTTACAGCACTTTCTTGAGGGTCCATGGTGGAGGAGGATGACAACAACAATAGTGTAACTAGTTAGTCATGAAATATTGCGTGTGTAAACAGAAACCAAAACGGGAAAGGTTGCGTTGGTGACTAATCTAAAGTACATCACATGATCGCAGATTTAGTGAAGGAGATTACGCCCCCATATTCATATTACGTCTCTCGGTTTGATTCGGTTTGAGTCGTTTCTCGAAGCATAACGCCTAGTAAAAATTAATGGCCCTTCTCAGCTTTAATTGGTCTTAGTAACAGATAGTCTAAGTGCCAATGATAAACCGTATTTAGAGTATTCTATAGCCATCAATGACTTTACGGCTCGGAAGGTGGCTAGAAGCGTGGAATTTCCTTAGAATATATCGGCCCTAAAGTCTTGCGTGATTTTTGGACCTTACAAGATATGGCCGTGACGGTGTTGATACTCCTCATCGGCTAAGGCCTTCAAGTCTCATCCATTAGCGTCTTAAGAACGCAAGCCCTGAAGTCTTGCGTGATAAGTGAAAGCCTAAAAAATGGCCATGCGGAGCATCACGGAATCCTGTGTATTCAGCAGGGTACCTAGTAGTGGTCTCCCTTTATTCTCAGTACCTATCAGCCATCAAACCACTCAGCTAAGAAGTTGTCGTAATTTCCATGTCTAGCATAGTAGTGTTACGGACCAACCAGGCACCAACCGGTCTGGGGACCGCAACTTACTGATGGGCCACCGAGAGCCAACCGATTTATCTGTCAGATCACGTGATCATGCTCAGTGAGCATGAGCATGATTTACCCTGAGCGGACCCACCCGGCAGACTTTATCCCGTACATATGTGGCTATATGTGATGGAAAACCTCTGCGCGCCAAAGGAGCCACTTTCGGCTTACCGCCCGTGTACCTTCGCATGTTGGACCCAAACCGCGAAGTAATCACCACGTGACCGTGACTCCTGCGTCGACTCCAGGAGTATACACGGGAGTATACGGTGACTCCCTGATCTACCCCAGGGGTATATCAGAGAGTAGGAAGAACTCAAGATATATAAGGACACTCATTCATGTATCTAGTTTAGTTCTTCGTGTTCAATCATCCATTGTTACTTGTGTCTACTGTTCAGAACCTTTGGTGACTCGTACAACTTGATTATAACTTGACAACACTACGAATAGACCCGTACTCCGGTATAGGTTAGTTCGGCGCTCTACCTGGCATCGCTCCTCGATACCCTCAAAAGGACTTAGCCCGTATAAGGCCTGTTAGGCGACGGTACAGTTGAGAGACAGATCGTTGACGTTGGAAGCAAGGAAGCATTCAGGCAAGTATAACCCTAGTGAACTTCTAACATAGCGACGACCCGTTAGTCGTGCGTAACAAGTAGGAATGATAGCGCAGATTCAGATTAACAGTACTTTAGCCTTCTGATTTTAGGGTTCTTGTGGAATTTTCTTTCTTTCGGGTTACAGTAAAATCTCGCTGTAACGAGCATTGATATAACAGGATCCTCTACATGTCTGAATTCTCTACATGTCTGAATTATTCTCCGATAGAAATTACGGGATCGCTGAATACAACGAGTCTCGTTAATTTTAGCTGGCTCCCCATATAAATCTCCTTACGCCAAGGGGATTTTGTATGCACGAAGAAGTAGAGTGCACACAATGAGGTATGATTAGGTTCTTTAAAATTGTGTGTCTATTTACTCACCTATTTCCTAGGCCTAGATATGACGAGGATTTACTGTACCAATAACGACGTTTCCAATTATAGATAGTATAAGATATGCCCAAGAAATAATTAGGTGCCATGGCAATATTCTTACTTTAACAGCTTCAAGTAAATAGCCGACCCTGGCTGCTGGGGCCTGGTCTGGGTCGCGGTGTGGTGGGGGTCGGTTGCGTATTATGGGTCCTTCTGTGGATTTCAATGGGCACTGTGCCCTCTTTACTTCTCTCTGGCCGAGACGCTGTTTGTTTTTGTCTTAGTTTGAGAGTTGTCTCCAAGCATTGAACTAAATAGGAAGTGATAAACTGTGTATCTCTTTATATCTGCCACCGATAAGAAGTACTTAAATGTATGTCAAGGCATAAGGCGGTAGAATTTGTAACCCAATGACAGACAGACCGGGATAGATATATGACAAACTAAAGGAGCGGTCAAATACCGCTATGGCCTTTTGGGATAGGCTTGTTCATCGTTCACCCAATTTCCCCTAGTATTTGTATGGTATTCGGGCTAAATTCGGATACGGTGTCATAACACGCCAGAGCACGGACAGTAGACTCCAGAGATCGCTGAACCGATCTACACACCTTCAATCAATCATCAGATTCTATTGGACATGTGCAGTACTAGCCAGTACATTAATTCCTCATCCTGACAGTTATGAGCCCGGTTGCCAGACTGTCTGAGAGATATTAGACGACCTTGCACTGTATCTTGCAGTCTACGAACCCCCTGAAGCGCTCGGTCGGATACCCCTGAACGACAGTCACCTCTTGTGAGCTCTTACGTTCAGCGCACGAAGATCCGCACCAAAGAAAAGCCGCCTTTGGAATCGACATAAGAGGAGAATCTGAGTATCTGAGCTACATCTTGTGCGAAGATGTCCGATATCACGAGGGAAGATCTGATGCAGGTCCCGCTTGACCAAAAGCTTCAATCAGAAGCGCAGTGGAGGGTCTGGATAGGCCATATCAAGTCAGCGGCTGTTGCAGAAGATGTATGGGACTACCTTGATCCGGAGAAGGCGGATGACGAGGTCCTGCAGGTGCCTAAGGCTCAGGAAGAGCCCTCGATACCACGGGATAACCGCCAACGGGAGAGAGATATCATGGAGCTAGATGATGCCGAACTCAAGAGATATACGTTCGCCGTTCAAGCGTATGATCGCCGCGACCAGCGCCGGCAGAGGCTATTGAAGACTATGTCACGGTTGAATAACCTCATCACCCGCTCGTTAGCTACGGAACACCACTATCTTGTTGTGGGAGAGGACTCACCGCGGAAGAAGCTAATAAAGTTATCTGAAACGTTTAAACCAAAGCCTCAAAGCCGCCAGCAACAACTTCGCCGAGCTTGGAGAGAAATGATTAGACAGAAGCCTCAAGGCGACACTAACCACTGGTTAACTCAGTGGGTTAGCCTATTTGAAGAGGGCAAGATCGCAGGCATACCCGACTGCTCCAACGGAGATCACTTCGCGATTCGAGATTTCTTGGACGCCATTCAATCAGTTGATGACACTTGGTGCACAGCCTGGCGCGAAAGGCTCGCAGATCAAGAGAAATCTGTCACGTTTCATGAGGTTATTGCTAGCTACCGTAGCCGCCGGGGGGATCTAGCGATCTCTAGCGGACGGAAGCAGCCAAAGATAGCTCTTGCTTCTTTGAACGGTGAACCTGAGGCTAAGCCTGTGGAGAAGACCTACCGGAAGAAATGTCCGTGTGGTAACACTCATCCCCAACATCACTTCTCTAAGTGCTTCTATCTTAATGAATCTATTCGACCAGAAGGATGGAAACCGAAAGAGGGCACTATTGAACGGATATCTGAAAACATCAAGCAGATGAGTCCTCAAGATCAAGAGAAAATCGTGAAAATACAGCAGAAGAAGGCCGAATCAGCTCACCTAGCCGGTACGGCTCCACAAGAGGGTCAGCCCCTAGTGTTCTTCGCCAATGATACTCAAGCTATCGCATCATCAGCGATGGACGAAGACCTTCTCAAAGATAGCTGGATTCTGGATTCTGGATCCACTGTTCACATCTGCAACGATCGCGAGCAATTCTTGACATATGCGCCGCGAAAAAGCACTGTTAAGACGGGTAAAACCGAGACACCGATGATAGGCTATGGGCAAGTCAGAATCACCGGAAGACACCCTCATACAGGTGCTGCGGTGCCTGTCATCCTAGATGACGTGTGGTACTCACCCGGCTTCCATACAAACTTGATCTCACTCTCTGTAATCGAGGACAAGGGCTTCTGCTTCAAATCTGATGAAAAAGCAGTCTTCAAAGGCAATGAAGCTGTTCTTGAGGTCGAGAGATATCACGGCCTCTACACAGTCATCTACAGCCCGAACCGCCAATCAGCTTTTGCCGGACGGCATTCGGAGAAGCCTCACCTCTCAGTGGCTTCAGCGAGGCGCTGGCATCGTCGGTTGGGCCACGCCTTTGATCAAAAGTTAGAGAAGCTACCGGAGATGGTTGATGGGGTCAAAATCGACGGAATATGCGAGGATAATCAACACGATAACCCTGAGAGATGCGAGGTCTGTCAATTGACCAAGGCTAAGCGTCAGATCTCTCGGCGGGCAACAGGCACGCCGTATGGAAAATACGGACGTATCCACTTCGACCTTGTTCAAATCGACCCAGGCTACAACGGAGACCGCTGGTTGACGCACTTTTACCTTGAAGGTGTTCGTCTCCACGCGGCCTATACACATGAGAAGAAGAATGGCTGCCAAGACGCGGTTAGTCAGTTTGTTGCACTAGCTAAGAAGCAGTGGAATCTTCCCATACGTGCATTCCGATATGATAACGAACGATCTGCTGGTCGCACAGTAGAGGACTTTCTGTTGAATGAAGGATTCATCATTGAACATAGTGTTGTGGGCACTCCAGAGCAGAACGGCTTCGCAGAGCGATCTGGGGGGTGATAATCACCATGGCTCGCGCTCTTATAGCCGATGCAGGCCTCCCGAAGAGTCTTTGGCCTGAAGCTGTCAAAGCCGCTGTATGGATCATCAACAGATCGCCCACAAAGCTACCAAACGGCCAGTGGATAGTCCCTTATCAAGAGGCTTTCCTTAATCAACCACAACAGCGTGTGAATCTCGCGAATCTAAGGATCTTCGGTTGCCGAGCGTATGTGCGGAAGCAAGGTATTCCGAACGCCGCGAAGATGGAGCCACGTGCCGAGATAGGCTACCTCGTCGGCTATGAAGCATCGAATATCTGGAGGGTATGGTTTCCACGTAGAGGATCCGTACGATCAGTACGAGATGTTGTCTTTGATGAAAATGTGTTCTTCAACGCTCGAGAGCTAGAGAAGGAGTCTATCAGTGACATCCTAGAGTCTATGCCATGGGTTGTTGAAGAAAATGAGGATATCGACCACGGCACCTTTGCCTCCGGAATAAACCTGGATATTCCTCAACCAGTCAACGCGGGCTCGCAGGTGACGGAGCCACAGAGCTTGGATACGCCTTCCCAGGAGAAAGAAGCTACTTCGCAACTAGTGGAGACTCAACAAATGATGTCACCGTCACCCACGCCTCCCGTTCAGCCAGCGCAAGCCTCAGAGCCTCGTACGGCACCTAGAGACATCGTGGGAGATATCTCATCTCGCAACATTGTGTCTGGCTCACGCAGGCGAAGTTCCAGAGACACTAGTAATCTAGCCTTCTCAGTGGACGACGACGAAGAGGGTGTACTCGCTGCCTTCGCAACTGGCCTCAACGGATCCTACTCACACACGAGAACACACCGCGATGATCTACCCCCAGAGCCTCAATCTTGGAGAGAGATGTTGAATCACCCGTTTAACGAAGGCTTCCTAGCAGCTGCTGGACTTGAGGTCAAAACCATCGAACGGAAGGGCACTTTTGAGGTTATACGGCGTCCGAACGACCGTGGCGTGCAGGTCCTCCCATTGAAGTGGGTCTTCAACTATAAATTCGATAGTGACGGATATCTCGTGAAATTAAAGGCGAGAATCTGTGTGCGAGGAGACCTCCAGAAACTCTCTACAGAAGAGAAGTATTCAGCTACACTCGCCGCACGGACGGCCCGCGCCGTCCTCGCCTTGGTCCCTGCGTTTGACCTTGATACACATCAATTTGATGCTGTCAACGCCTTCCTAAATAGCTTGCTAGACGAAACGGTGATAACAGAGATGCCCGAGGGTTTTAGGCAGTCTGGCTATTGCTGGAAGCTACTGAGAGCTCTCTATGGCCTACGGAAATCTCCGAGGCTCTGGCAGCGCGAGGCCTCAAGGATCTTGACCCAACTAGGTCTCAAAGTCGTTCAAGAAGACCTCTGTCTCTTCGCAGCAGACGGTATCATTGTGTTCTTCTATGTAGACGACATAATTGTCGTCAATCACCCATCTCAGCGCCAGCGCGCGGCTGAGATCAGAGAAAAGCTTAACACCGCATGGGAATTGAGACACATGGGTGAAGCTTCATGGTTCCTTGGGATTCGTATAGTCCGTGATAGACAGCAGATGGCCCTCTGGCTCTGTCAGGACTCATACATCTCCTCTATGGCAAGCAGATATCACCTTACCACCCATCGTCGCTTTGATACACCCCTTGCGCCAGCTACATTAAAGCCGTATACTGGGCAAGCCACAAGTGAACGGATTAAGGAGTATCAGGAGAAGGTCGGCTCCGCTCAATATGCAACCACCATCACACGGCCAGATGCAGCCAAAGCAACCTCCACATTAGCTCAATTCCTCACGAATCCGGGTCCGGACCATCTAGAAGCCATCAACCGCGTGATATCATACCTCTATCACACACGCTTCCACGCCCTCACTTATCGCCCACGCCAATCCGAGGAGGATGAAGCCGTTACTCTCTTTAGTGATGCCTCGTTCGCCGATAACCCTGACCGGAAGAGCTCGGAGGGATATATCTGCAAGATCTTTGGAGGACCTGTTGACTGGAGAGCTGGCAAACAGCGCACGGTGACTACTAGCACAACCGAAGCGGAGCTGCTAGCGATCTCTGAGGCTGCGAGGACTATGAGCATGTGGAAACGCCTCTTTGAGGCTGTTCGCTTTGATCCAAAGCACGAGCTTGCTATCCGATGTGATAATCAACAGACAATTCGGCTTCTCACCAAGGAAGCTCCTCAGCTGCGGACGAAGCTACGTCATGTTGATATACACCACCTCTGGCTTCGTCAGGAGGTCCAGGCAGGCAGGATTCTCATCAAATGGACTGAGACGAAGGGTATGGCTGCGGACGGACTCACCAAGCTATTGCCACGTCAGAAGCATGCAGAATTCGTTCAAATGATGGGCATTGAGGATATTGGAAATCTGCTAGATTAACAAGAAGAGGTTGGAATTGTGCGAACGCTGGGGGGTGTGACAAACTAAAGGAGCGGTCAAATACCGCTATGGCCTTTTGGGATAGGCTTGTTCATCGTTCACCCAATTTCCCCTAGTATTTGTATGGTATTCGGGCTAAATTCGGATACGGTGTCATAACACGCCAGAGCACGGACAGTAGACTCCAGAGATCGCTGAACCGATCTACACACCTTCAATCAATCATCAGATTCTATTGGACATGTGCAGTACTAGCCAGTACATTAATTCCTCATCCTGACAATATATTACTAAAAATACCGCTATTATGCATTAGCGGCCGGATTAAGCGATACCTAATAAGGCTATTCGAAAAACATTCCCTTCAAACTGCTTATTTCTGTATCCTACTTGAACTTGAGAAGATCCAGCTCCCGTATTCCTGCTGGTCATATAAAGTTAAGTTTCCTCCCCGTCTCATTGTAGCTCTTAACATCTCTCATTCCGATTGTGCTCCATCCATCGCAGTAACCGTCATGATGATTTTCAGCCTTCTTACTTGCCTTTCTCTCACTCGTGTCATTGCTGCCCTCCCGTGGCTGTGCCCGGCAGAAGGACTCTGCTTGGAAAATCGTGGGGTTGAGCATTTGTTCACCTCATATCCGGGTCATAGGATTGACAACGCCGTACCGACAAGCCAAATGGAAATTCAAAACTTACTCGCGAGAGACAATGCAGTCTGGCTTCAACGGGGAGAGGACCCTCCAAATCCGGGTCAATCAGCGTTTTATACTGGAATGACGGGGGAACCCAATATCGAAGTCTATGCATTCCATTATAATACTGTTCAAGATCTCGACACCGACATCGGCTACGTTGGCTTACGCAACTGGGGGCGCAATACGCGCCGTTTCGAAGTTGGCACAGTCATAAATGGCAACTTTCAACCCGTTCAGAGCACCTCAAGTATTCCAGGCCGTGGTGGTATGCAGATTGTTGAATTTAATTGGACACCAAACATGGTCTATCAACTTCGTTTCTATGAGTGATGTGGTTTTGGGTCACAGCATAATAATCAGCGGTATGTGATCCAAAATTACTGCTTTCTGCGAGACCATACACGAGCAACCGTTTCAGATTCATTGCTTCTCCAGGCTAACCACTTCTCTGATCAGCAGCCGCTGGTGTCTGCTTGTACCAATTGAAACTATTGAAATGCAATGCATAAATTTACAAAAATGTGGTCCGACGGCTAAACCACTGCCGCTCGTCGTATTCCAGGTACGACAAAGGAGATACAGGTTTTACAGCAAATTGCAAAAATGGTGTCCGGTGCTATACCCCTATTTTTCTTTTTAGGTGGGACCCTAGGTCATAAGTAGATGGAGTTTGTAACGCTCTGCAAATAAATTTTTTTTTTCCCAGCTCGATGATTGAAATTGAAGAAAAGAGCAGAGCACCTAAGGGACGCTTTTGCAAATACCGTTTTTGCAAGTACCTGCGTTATTATGCATGTGACGAGAAGATGTAGATCGAAATGGGAACTCTTTCTTGGCAAAAACGTTTTCTTGAAATATCTAGCCAATCAGAGGTCTCACGGCCTCTTGAATTAGTTCATCGTAATCGTAACCTCAAGCGCTACGGCCTGATACCCTTTTCATAGGGGAGATGGCAGCGATGGTTGGGACGGGTGCGAACGCACAGATTTTGCCCCCTGACAGGAGAGGAACGCCAAAAACCACGGCCCTCGCGGATCCGCCCCGATCCATGGACGACATCGCGGAAGGGGCCCGCAGGGTGCTCAACCACATCGAAAACAATGGCACGGAGGACCGATATGTCACTGGGTATATTCGCGCCGTCCGCCAGTACGCACTCAACGCCCAACGGGGAGACGGCCAGGGGATGGCCAAGGTGCTCGAGGCGTTGACCAAAATCAACATCGACACCGAACGTCTGAACCAGCGAATGGATACCATTGAAAAATCAACGAGCACATTATCGACGGCATTATCTACCCCCGCGGCGAACTCTGCGGCAGCGTGGCGCAACTTCCGGGCCAAAGAATGGCAGCGCGACTTGGCTACGGCTGCGACTCCCATCACCCGGAGCGGCGGCACATCGTCTCCAGGAGTACCGGAAATCGAACTTCGCGAGGACGAGAGGTCATCGTCAAGGTCGGAATGAACCGCGAGCAAATCCGTGGATTGACACCAAAAGATTTGGTCGAGAGGGCTGAACGACAGAGGGTATCAAATGCCTGTCAGAAGAATTCAGGGGTACTGGCCGGACAGGCTTCATTTGTCGCTGCTCGAAAATTGCCGTCGGGGGATGTGGCAATGATCGCCAACAGTGCTGCGGGGGCAGAGGTCCTCCGCAAACATGCTGCGTGGCTGAGAGCCTTTGGACCAGGCTCAGTGATCCAAGAACCGTCATGGGGAGTGGTGGCGTACCATATCCCCGTGAAATCGATGAAGGTTACTCCGGAGACGATGGCCGACGTTGCGGCTGAGCTGCTCGCGCAGAACAATTGGGGCGAAGGCGCTAAGATCCAGTATCTAGGATGGCTGACCCGTCCGGGGGAGAGGGCGGAGGGCTCCATCCTGATCGAGTTCACCAGCCCAGTCGTGGCTAATCGCGCGATCATCTCGGGAGTCGTGTGGGGGAAGCAAATTCACAATACATCGCGATTCTGTCGTGAGGGGCGGATAAAGCTATGCAGAAAATGCCAAAAGCCGGGGCATATCCAGTCACACTGTTCCAACTTCTTCAAATGCGGTCACTGCGCCAACGGACACCCGACCTGGGAGTGTCCGTCGACGAAGGGGCAAGCGATACCAGTCAAGTGCGCCAATTGTGGTGAAGGGCATCGCCCTACAAGTCGGGAATGTCCGGTGAAGGCTGAAGCGATGAACGAAGCCAAGCAAGCGCTGGCCAACTGCCCTGCATATCACCGCGTTCCTATGCACCTCCGAGTGACGGCAAGCACCGGCAACGAAGCACCTTCGACTAGGGCAGACCCCATGGTTTCGAATGGACTCGAAGCGTCGATACACGCTCCGGAGGGGCAACGGGGGGAAGAGCCCCCACGGAACCCCCAGGATGCTGTAATGGACGTGGAGACTGCAGCGATAGAAGTAGAAACATTACCAGAGGAGGTCACTGAACCGACTCAGCCTACTCAGCTCAAAAGAGGCCCTGGCCGCCCAAAGGGCTCAAGAACGAGGCCAAAGAATCCCAAACCAACAGTGATACCGCTGGCATGCCAAGGGTCAACAAGGTTCCAAGCGGCCTCGAAAAGGCGCCGCACAGGCGAGCCGGACGACACCATGGACGAGCAACCAGACGACAATGAATGGCTCAGCATTCAACCCACTCCGGCCAATCTCCCTCAACCTGACACTCAGCAGGATAGCCTAGAACACCGACTTACCCAATTCATCAACGAGGTCACCACTGTCAACGAGGCCGGTAGCACGTCCGGGCCTGATGACGAGGGGGAACTGGACCCGGAGAGCCCCGAATACCGCAAATTGGTGATTCTGAAATACAAGCAGCGGCAAGCGATACCGATTGGATCATCTCCGCTGCTTTTTCCGACGGATACACCGACAATCGAAGACCCAAATGATGAAGTATGGCATGAGGCCAGCGAACGAAGCGATGACGAACAAACTCATCAATGAAATCGTTTGAGATTCTTCAATATAACGTACACAAATCGTGGCCAGTGATGGCAACGTTTCTCAGAGACAGAAATGTCCTCGCGGCGGACGTCGTCGCGGTACAGGAGCCATGGAAGAACGAAATGCAACACACAACGCACCAACCAGCGACGGCAACTTTCCAGCTAATTTACCCACCAAAAACAGCTGCTGACGGATCAACCCAAGGCCAGGATGATCAAGTCCAAGCCTCGGATCTCTCCCAACCGGGAGTATGCCTGTTTGTGTCTAAAAGGCTTGACCCGAGCCATTGGTCGTGTCAACTCGTCTCACAGGACTACCAGTTACTGAAACTTAGAAAGGCTCATCAGGGCAGAGACTGGACAGATCTCTTCATACACAACATATACAATAGGCCGGGCAGCAATACCCTTAGACATCTAAGAAATGAGCTGTCAAAACGACCTCATGGAGAACACATCATCCTTGGAGATATGAACGCGCATCACCCGAGATGGGGAGGAACAGGGACCAGGGCCGATCAGGAGGCCGAGCAACTCCTAGAAATTGCCAATGAATGGGGACTCGAGTTGACGACCCAACAAGGCAGACCTACCTGGTCTCGAAACGATCAGTCGTCGGTGATTGACCTCACCTTCATCACATTCAACCTGGTCAACAGGCTTATCAATTGCGAGAGGGCGGATGACATCGAGCACGCATCCGACCATTTCCCGATCAGGACTGTGCTTGATATTATTACACCCATTGCTGTACAACAGAAGAGAAGAAACTGGAACGCAACTGATGACCAGAAACTCATCCAGAAGATCGAAGGAGGTCTACAGGCAGGAGGCCTATACCAGGCAGATCTGCAGAGGATAGAAGCCAAATGCCAGGAGCTAATGGGTGTGATCCAGTCAGCAATCGAGGAATCAACCCCATGGGCAAAACCATCCGCGTGGTCGAACCCCGACTTTGACGACGAGTGTAAAGTTGCGGTCAAAGAAGTTCGTCGCCTCCGTCGCAGACATACGAGAACCAAAGACCCCTACGACTGGATGTGCTACTCGGAAGCACGCAACAAGAAAACGCGACTCGTCAAGAAAACATTGTCAAGAGCGCACCGGCGCCGAGTCCAGCAAGTCGTTGAAGATGGCCCACAGGGTATGTGGCGATTGGCTAAATGGGCAAGAAACCGAGACGGGGCATATGAGAAGGGTATCACCCCTTCGCTGAAAATACAGGATCCCCAAATGCCTGGAACTCTCGCAGAAACAGTTGAGCAAAAGGCAGAGGCATTCCGGACTGCCTTCTTCCCAAAACCACCGCCGGCCGATCTATCCGACACAGACTCATTCCTGTACCCACAGCAAATCGAGTTTCCAGCAGTCACCGCTCAAGAGATACAGGAGGCGGTGCGAGGAGCGAAAGCAGGGAAAGCACCCGGAGAAGACGGTATACCAAACTCTCTCTGGCACAAGCTTATCGAGATACCGGTGGTTCTAGCAACAGTGGTCCAGTTATTCAACGCATGCATAAACACGGGATACAACCCGTCACATTTCCAGCGCTCAATCACGGTGGTGCTCCGGGAGCAAGGCAAAAGTGACTACCAGCTCGCAAAATCCTACAGACCCGTGGCGTTGCTGAACACGCTCGGAAAGTTTCTGGAGGCAGTTGTCGCGCGACGGATCAGCTACGCAGCAGAAACCAACGGTTTACTCCCACGAACCCATCTAGGCGGACGAAAGGGTATATCCACCGATCATGCTATCCACATTATCATCGACCGAATCAAAACTGCATGGGGAAAGGGCAAGCCAGTGGTATCTCTGCTGATGCTGGACGTGTCCGGAGCGTACGACAATGTCTCCCATGAACGTCTACTACACAACCTCAAGAAACGACGTCTGGGACACTTCGTTCCCTGGGTGAGGGCCTTCTTGACCAACCGAAGCACACGGATCCGCATGCCCGAGGGCACATCTGATCGAATCCCGACACCTACAGGCATCCCTCAAGGATCACCGATCTCACCCATTCTATATCTCATCTACAACGCAGACCTCGTTGAGAACTGCGGTAACGGTGTGACTAGCAACGGGTGGGTCGACGATGTTTGCTTCATGACAAAGGGAGACAGCGAACGCGAAACCATCAAGAAACTCAGAGCGGCATGCCGCAAAGCCGACCAATGGGCCGAGAAACATGCATCAGTTTTTGACCCGAAGAAGTATGCACTCGTGCATTTTGTAAACACCAGGGAAGTCGACCCACAACACACATCGCTTTCTCTACGAGGACACACGGTGACAGCGACGAGGACGGCTGAGCGGTACCTAGGCTATTGGCTGGATCCGGGTCTGGAATTCCACCATCAC